TCTCTCTCTCTCTCTCTCTCTCTCTCTCTCTCTCTCTCTCTCTCTCTCTCTCTCTCTCTCTCTCTCTCTCTTAATGCTACTCTGAACTCCTACAGCGCCCAGCGCTGAAGACTACACCTAGCGCTAGCTACTACTACTGCAGCCCTCCTCCAGAGTGTTGTGGCCGAATCCTGAAGATTGCCTCCTGAATGGCCCGTGAAGTGCCTGTGAACTCCCCATGAACTGCCTTCAGCCTGCAGGGCGGACCATTACTATATAGTGCTGGTCCGGCCTGGGAGGCTTCTCTTGCCCATGCCGAATCGTGCCAGACCGTGGCGTTGAAGTTCAAACAAAGGTTGTCTTGAAACAGGCCCAAAAATGGCCTGCGCTAAACCCTGGTCTGGCGCCTATGTTTCAGGGCAGGGCAACTTTATGAGGGCCTGAAAATGGCCCTCCTTTTCAGGCTTTTAGGCTGAAACGAGACAGGGCCTGGAGGGCCCTGATTTTTCGTCTGGTCGGGCCCTGCAGGCCCGTGTGGATGCGCAGTATGCCACACGGGCGGAGCTCTTGACATGAGGACTTGGTTCATTGAACTTCATTCGAACGAAAGCATTCTTTCTTCTTGACTTGAGGACTTGGTTCATTCGTACGAAAGCATTCTTTGAATGCCGGCCTTGTGTTCCACCGTGCCTATTGGGAAAGGCCGTCTGAGGTGAAGCTTGACGGCTGGGTTCTTTATTTTTATTTTAACACACACACACACACACACACACACACACACACACACACACACACACACACACACACACACACGAAATCAAGCCTAAGGCTCTAAGCAAATAAATGAAGGTCTCTAAGACATTGATGCCACAGCTTAAAAATTGGCCACAAACTTGGCACATAGATTAAAAAATGAAGTTCATAAAATCCAGTGCCCCAGAGAGGTCCTCGACAAGTTCGCCGGTTTCACACTCAACCCGAAAAAGGTCAAAAAAAGGCCTTATATTCTTAAAAATTTGACGTTGGTGGCCTCGAAGAGGTTTGGCGAAGAAGGGAATCGGGGAAGGAAGCAAGGTTACCTTCATGTCAAAGTTCCCATTTGGGTAGGCTCTCAAACGACAAAGAATCCTTTCCTCTCGTATTGCCTCTTCTGTGCCCTGATGTTTTACTCTGTAAACCAGGGGTTAGCGCACAGGCAGTGCCCGCGTCATTACCACCTCATTCCCTTGTGTCTTTTCACAATTGCTTTTCCACAATGATTTGGCTCTAGTAGAAAACACTGAGAAATGAAACCATGACGTGCTAGTCTTCTGAATTGCAAATCGCAAATGCAAGGAGACCATAAGAAAGATCACCAACGAAGACAGCGTTGTGCACAAATCGACTACCATTGATTGACTCAAATGATAAGCCAAGAATGGACGGCAGTGATATGATATGATATGATATGATATGATATATGATCGTATCTGGCCAAAATAATGATACTGTCAAAGTCTCAATGAAGAAACCATCAGCTCTTCACTCCTCCATGACCATACAACAATAATAAAGTTCAATAGCATGCCATTCGTCTTTCGCCATGACCAGCTAATGTGATCCCGCCAACCCTACTGCTTCATGGCTACGGCGGGCCTGGGCACCAGACCAATTCGGACGTCCGGCCAGACCTCTGTCCGGATGGCTCCAGACCGTCTGGGTTGACCCCTTTTCCCCCCTCCCCCCCCAAAAATAAAAATAAAAATAAAAAATCGACTCCCCCCTCCCCCCCCAAAAATAAAAATGTTATGCGCGTCCATCTTCCTCTCCCAGGCGCTCCTTATTAGTCAACATTATCCCCTCCCCCTCCCCCTCCCCCTTCCCCTTTCCTGATTCCTCCACCCCGACCAACTTTGCTTTGCTCACCCTACTTCCATGAAAAAAAAAAAGCGGCGGAGACATCCAAACAACATGTTTTTAACTTNTTTTTTTTTTTTTTTTAGGGTGCAGTTTTATCATGTGTACAAAAAATGAGGCCTAGAATTCCTCAACATCTCAACCGGGAGTGTTCTGGGGCCATTACCCAGGTAGGCTTGTGCTGGAAACCGGGTCCAGCGTCCCATTGACTGCAACCAAAAACCACAAACTGTCCTAATAAAGCCAAAACAGACAGAAGGGGAGCATGGACGGTACTACCTGCCACGGAGACCCCAAGCTGGCCCCAGTAAGGAAGAAACTTGAAAAACCTAAATAAACGGGGCAAGCTGTAGTGCTATCTGCCACTTTTTCTTCGCTAATAAAAATCCTTAAACCCTGTTAAACACCAGTGAGAGAACCCATACATCTTAAAACTTAAAAGTCGTGCCAGAACCTCTAGAACCCTAATAAGCCCTACCTTATCCCTCGTCTGTTCCATGACTGGTGTTTCAGCTTGATGTCCCCCCGTCGTGTTCTCTTGCTCTCTTCCCCGCCTCTGGTCCCCTTATGGTCTTCCTATGTGTGGTTCCTGTTCCCGGCTGCTGCTATCTCCACCCTGATCCCTTGAGTTATTTGAAAGGTGGCCCCATTTGTATAGTAATCTGTGACCCTCTATCATTGCCACCTTCCCCTGTCCCAGAACTGCTGTTTGAGTAAACTTTTTGACGAGCACTTGTGCGTCTGTGGTCGATCTTTTTCTTCATTTTATTCCATTGTGCTCTGATGTCCGTTTCCAGCAGGAGTCTCTTCTTAATATCACCCTACCGTCTTCACCCGAATAAAATGACCGGTCATTATAGCTGTATTTGGCACAACTTTCAGCCCAGATACGGCGTTAATTACTGGGCGTTCTATTCGGGTGAAGATGGTAGCCTCCTGGATGGGCAGTTGGCTGTCGTCGATCGTGTGTCGACACCTTCCCTTCCAGATTGCCGAAAGGCCGTATTGTCGAAGCAGCTGGAATCTTCTCTTCTCACAGGTTGTCCACTTAGTGGGAGGAGCACTCCCTGTCAGTAGCAAGACTGTGTCCTCTGGGAACCGGACGGAAC